GGTTTCATTCTGGAGACAGGAGTTAAGGCTGCAGGACGCTCTCAAAGTGGCGTCCGATGCATCAGGTGCAGTTGGCTTTGGGGTGTTTTTTCAGGGACACTGGTGTGCCAAAGTCTGGCCGGACAGTTGGCACGCGCAGGGGATTACAACAGACTTAACATTTTTGGAATTTTTTCCCATACTAGTTGCTGTTACAGTATGGGTTGAGGCCTTTGCCAATTAGACCGTTCATTTTTGGTGTGATAACCTTGCCACCGTTCAGGTTATCAACACTTTGACATCAAAATCTAATAGGGTGATGGGGACGCTTAGGCAGTTCACATTACACTGCCTGAGGTTTAATATCTTGTTTAAAGCCTTTCACATAGCGGGAATAGACAATTCTTTGGCTGACGCTCTATCTCGTATGCAGATGGAGCGCTTCAGACAACTCGCGCCCAGCGCCGACGTTCATCCACAGCGTATGCCAGGCCATCTTTGGCAGGTTGGAGGGATGAGGCGGTAATGGGTATGGCTTTAGCACTAGCCCCAAGTTCACGAAAGTCTTACCTGAGGGTGGTTGAGGAGTTTCACGATTTTAGACAGTTTTACCAGTTACCGTCTACAGTACCAATTCCTTATGAACATTTGGCGCAATTCTGTGTGTACTCGCACAGAAGGGGCCTAGCGCCGCACACTATTAAGTCCCAGCTGTCGGCGTTGGCCTACTGGTCAAAAGCACAGGGCCTTTCGGATCCCACAAACAATTTCCGCCTACATAAAATTATTGCGGGTTGGGCGCGCCAACGGGGTCCATCACATGATAAAAGGGAACCCTTGTCACCCACAATTTTAAAGGGATTGAGGGGAACATGGCCCAGAGTGTGTCGGTCCGAGTATGAGCAGCGGTTATTCCACGCGGTGGCCTTGACGGCCTTTTTCGCTGCTCTTAGGATTAGTGAGTTGCTCGCCATGTCAAAAAGTGATGTCTCTCAGAGGGCGTTGCTGTTGCAAGATATAAAGCTATCGCATGACAACCTCCAAATTTTGGTACGTTCGTCCAAGACGGACCAGCAAGCCAAGGGTGCTGTGGTTACATTAGCCAGATGCAGTGACCCTGAGCTTTGCCCTGTTTCGGCTATGGCACAGTTCATTCAGATTAGGGCTCAGGCGGGGGGATATTTATTTTGTCATCAGGATTCCACCCCCCTCACAAAATACCAGTTTTGGGCCATCACAGATAGGGCGCTGAAGATGCTGGGGTTGGGTTCTCACAAATTTGGCACTCACTCTTTTCGAATTGGAGCGGCATCTTCGGCAGCACATTTGGGTTACAATGAGGAGGCCATTAAATCAATTGGAAGGTGGAAATCGGGCGCTTACAGGCGTTATATTCGCTCGGTACTTGTTTGAGTTTGTTGTTTATCTTTCAGAGACTGCCAGGCTGGCGCATAGATGGAGAATCCTTGTTTGTGGGCATAGTTATGTCCACTGGGCGGAGAGATACGCCAGGAACTCGTCCTTTGGCCAGCATCTGGGTTGCGCTTCCACTGCATTGGTCGAGTGGAAGGGTGTTCGGGGCCTTCGTTGGGACGGTTTGGTTCCATTGTTGTTCCAGGACAGGAGCAGGCCCACTCCTGATGTTTTGGTGCTCCATATTGGAGGTAATGATCTTGGCCTGCTTAACGGCAGGCCAAGCCCGTGCTGACATTTTGAAGATCTGGCAGGCATGGCCCCGGGTTCACATCGCTTGGTCGGCCATCATTCCACGCCTTCGGTGGCCAGGAGGCGGTGACGTCAGGAAGCTCGAGAAGGCCAGAAAGCGTGTGAACCGGGCCATGCGCACGGCTTTAGCACGGGGCAGAGGGTCTTACATTCCACATAAGGACATCACGCATGACAAATCACAAGTTTTACCGTTCTGATGGTGTACATTTAACAGATTTGGGTAACGCACAATTTTTGGCTGATTTGCAGTTTGGCATTCAGGAAGTTTTGAGGGGCTTGGTGGGGGATGGGGGCGAAA